CCACTCTTAGCCCTCTATCACTCTCTCCTTCTTTCTCTCTCTTTCTCTCTCTCTCTTTCTCTTTATAAACTTTTATATGTATGTATGTAGATTTATTTAGTTGGCTCTCCCACTTTTCTCCCTCACTGCATTCTCATGCGTTGCCTATGCCTTCCGGTTCCATCCGCCCTCCTGAACCCTCGGCTTCGGATTGCTTATTTCAGAGGACAGACGGCGTTGCACAAAGCGGCCGCCCATCGACACCGAACCGTCTGCAAGCGTCTGGTGGAACTGGGCGCTTGTCCGATTGAGTTGGACGCCAATGGCCGGCAGCCGAGAAAACTGGCCTTGGCAGTGAACGATCGGCAGTTGGCGCATTTCCTTCAGAGTAAGTCATTTAATGCGGTTGAACGACTCGAAAAGTAGGGAGAAGCACTTGAAGTGTTGGCGGAGCATAGTTTTGAGTTGGCATGACATCGTTTTCGTGACGGTATTCCAGATTGTCGTACATTCAACTGGTCATAAGTTCGGTGAGATCGCAGAGAGTCACTTTTGAGGACGAATTTTTAACGGTTTTCAAACGGCAAATTGTTAATATTTTATTATTTTAATGAAATTTTAAACCTTTAATCTGTAAACCTATAAGATCACATTTAGCTGAGCCTCGATTCCTTTTTGATCTTCATCTCTTCCTATAAACTTTATGAAAGGGCTATTCGTCATCATCCACAACTGGGAAAATAAGTATCATACTGGAAAGAGTTACAGCCTTTATTTCTACATAGTCCTTAAACGACTTTCCTCAACTCAAGTTAACCCTAAAGTGGACAGGACTCTTCTCTTTATATACAAGTCCGAGATAGTTTGACTCTTTGTTTCGTTACAGTCTTCTTTGGCTGTACTAAATTGGTATGTCATTGTTTTCGCAATTGGATCGAGCTGACAGGGAGACTGTGTGGAGCATATTCAGTCTTGCCTACTCTGCCCGAGTAATATTTATAATTTCCAGCGAAAAACAGATGATTCGGTACCTTTTGCCAACTACGATGATAGCAAAGTGTATATTAATGTACCAAGTCAACGGTCCGCAGCCGGAGATTGACATGACCAGTCGAACAGAATACACGGGACTGAGTATATTTCACAAGGTCTCTTTATCACCTCAACCAAACTGCTAACAACGCGGTTATACCAACTTAATACAGCCGAAAGAGAGCGTGATAAAACAAAATTCCGAACCATATCTGCCAAAGTATCTACATATATTGGTCCACTTGAATTCGTGGAATATATCAAAAGACTATGAATAAATGAAGTATAACTTTTTCCCTGAATAGTCTGATGCAAATATCCTGGAAATGATGAACTCGTGTGCCACTTATTTTC